AGGAGAAGGGGGGGTGGATATTGACAGAGGCACTGTGGCTTCCCAGGGGGAAGGTAGCATGTAGAATAGAATAGAGCTGGAAGGGACCTTGGAGGTGGTCTAGTCCAGCTCCCTGCTCAAGCAGGAGAACTTACACCATCTCAGAAAAGTGAATGTCTAGTCTCTTCTTAAAAATCTCTGCTGATGGAGCGCCCACGATTTCTGGGGGTAAACTGTTCCGCTGGTTGATTGTCCTCACTGTCAGGGAGTTTCTCCTTAATTCCAGAGAGGGTCCAAGACAAGGGGCTGCGCAGTCCTGAATTGGATGGTGGGGTGAGAAAAAGGTTCAGAGTAACCACACCCTGAAATAGGGTACGTCTGTTAGTTTGGAAGGTTATAACTTTAGCCTGGCAAGATTCTGTCTATTAAGTGTAAGCAAATACAGAACTGGATTTGAGTGGATCTCCCTGTGTTATCACTGGGGCTTGGGCCTGACACTTCACTTACTATATTGTTTCTATAAGTAACGGGTTCTTGGTGCTCTCTGAGCTTGCTTGTTTTCTTGCAGACGTTGTGTTACCCAAACTAAGTAGCATCATCAGTGTACTGCTACTGATGATGTTACCTAGTTTGGGTAATGAATCGTCTTCAAAAAAAAAACCAACAAACAAGTTCAGAGAGCACCAAGGACCCCTCATTTCAACCCCTGAGCTACAAATATTCTCCTTTATTGGTTCTGGAAGTAAGCCTTACAGTAACTCTGGCAGGTGGTAAGTCAGTTGACTGCAGCTGGAAGCTGTAGATCAAATCAGCTTACCTGCTACAGGTATGTTCTGAGCAGAGGTAACCTTTATTTGAGGACTCTCCAGTCCAAGCTTACTTTTCACGGTACTCTACAGAAAGCCTGCTTAAGACATGGACTGCTTGTACTCAGCCCCTTCTAAGTGACAGTATGCTCAAGAACAGGGGTCTTCAAACTCGGCCCTTTTTTGACTCATGGACTTCAACTCCCAGAATTCCTCAGCCAGGCACGCTGGCTGAGGAATTCTGGGAATTGAAGTCCATGAGTCAGAAAAGGGCTGAGTTTGAAGACCTCTGCTCAAGAACCTCTAACTCAGGGGTGTCAAACTCAATTTCACTGAGGGCTGCATCAGCATTGCAGTTGCCCTGGGGGGGGGGTGCAGGTGGGTGTTGCCAGAGTGGGTGCAGCCTACTGGGTGGGCGTGAATGGAGTGGGTGTGGCTACTGGGTGGGCGTGGCCAGTTCTACATCATTTGCGTCAAGGGTGCCTATGGGGGCCTGGGCAGGAGTGGGACAGATCTGAGGGTCTCTGGCAGAAGGGGGTGGGATTGGGGCAAGTGCCAAGGCATGGTCCACCAGGGCAAGTACCAAGATGGCCACCACAAATTGTACATTGGCTCCTGGCTGGCCTGGGCCAGGGCCAAGGCAGCGGGGGCCGTTCCCTCACCTTTTCCAGGATGGCTTCGCGGGCCACATGAAACCACTTCGCGGGCCGCATCCGGCCCCCGGGCCTTGTGTTTGACATGTCTGCTCTAACTATATAGCTGTGGATTGTGTAAGTACAAGTAGTCCCTGTTTAACAACAGAACGGAACGGAACAGAACAGAATAGAATAGAATTCATTATTGACCAAGTGTTATTGGACGCAGAAGGAATTTGTCTCCGGTGCAGAGGCTCTCAGTGTACAAACAAGCAACAAGTGATAAAATCATGATCATAACCATAATACAATCATAAATTTCAACCGGGCTCTGACCTGGTAGAGAAGAGACTTGCTTGTTTTTTGTTGTTGTTGTTTTTGCCATGCAGCAGAAGCATCCTTCTACCTGAGCAGGTGAGCCCACCCTGCACTTCCTCACCCCAAATAAAGTTGTCTCGTTTTCATGACAGGCCACTGCCATCCTGATTGCTTGACCTGCAACCAGGCATTTGATGGCTGTGATGCCTGCCGAGATTCCACCAAGTTTCTACTGAAGGGGCGTTGCGTTGACAGCTGTGGGGCTGGCTTCTATCCAGATGCTGGCCTTTGCGTAGGTAAGATTAGCCTCCAGCTTGCTGTGTGATATTGAAGCTTTTTTTGCTTTGTAGATGATGCCCAGACATTTCAAAAGATGCCCATGGCTTCTGAGTGTTAAAAATCGATAAGATTATTCTGAAGATTTGTGTCTTTCTAAAATGCCCTTTTATTGCTCTCTTTCTCCTCTAACGGAGTTCCCCAAGACAGTTCCAAACAATAAATATAGCAATACATGGAGAATATTAAAGCCCGGAATCAAATATTTAAAACAAACAGCATAATCGGGAAGACGAATTCTCACAAAAGCCTGATAGAATGGCAACAGTAACTGATTGTCTAACTTCAGTTAAATCAAATCAATGTTTATTGCGGTCATAGACCAGTGTACTGTACCAATCTTCAATATACACTTGGGTTGTCAGCAATAAATTATCTTTTTTTTTTTTTTTACCGTTGCCAATACCTGGGGGTTGTTTGAAATCCCTGATCAGCAACTGCAAAGTTGGGTCATGGATCCCAAAGATCTGACTCAGAGGAAATCGAATCCGACTCAGTTCTTTACAATCTTCTTTTTGTTTGTTTTTTTATTTCCTCCCCTGCCTCGGGCAGCTTGTAAAGAGATGTGCTCGACTTGTACTAATAAATTTGGATGTACTTCATGCCAAGCTTTGCTGCATTTGAAGGATGCCCAATGCGTGACGTCATGCGGGAAAGGGTTTTTTCCGGGACCTCTCCAGTGCACAGGTAAGAAATACCTGTGTTAGGTAATCTGAACTCTACCCATCTCTGAACAGAAACATGAGGTAAAAGAGAGGTTGAATAACAATGAATGAAATTGCAAGAAAAGATAATGCAAAAGTCCACATGCTTCCTTATTAAATTCTTAGCACAATGTTGGAGCTTCTATATCTGGCTTGGCATAAAGTGGTTAATAAAACCAGCCTATCTCACCTGTACCTTTCCCTAAATTCTCTTTAGAATAGGATAGGATAGGATAGGATAGAATAAGAATAGGAAACAATAGAATAGAATAGAATAGAATAGAATAGAATAGAATAGAATAGAATAGAATAGAATAGAATAGAATAGAATAGAATAGAATAGAATAGAATAGAAAAGAAAAGAATAAGAAAGAATAGAATAGAATAGAATAGAATAGAATGAGAAGAAAGAATAAGAATAGGAAAGAATAGAATAGGAAAGAATAGAATAGAATAGAGGAAAAAATAAGAATAGGAAAGAATAGAGTAGGGTAGGGTAGGGTAGAATAGAATATAGAATATAGAATTAATACAATACTTTATCAGCCAAGTGTTAAAGGCACCCAAGGAATTTGTCTCTGGTGCATAAGCTCTCAGTGCACATGCAAAACAACAAAGTAATAATAATCATAATATCAAAACAATAATAACCATAGTAATTATACCAATAAGAGAAGATAGTGGAACAAGTGAGACGGACAAAAGTAATACAGGGTTAATATACTGTTCAGTAGAGTGATGACACAAGGATAAAAACTTTCTCTGGGTCTCCGTTGTTTTGGCATGCAATGCCCTGTAGCCTTCTTTTCATCCTGAGGGGATGAAAAGAAAATTAATTAGTTAATTTAGATGGGGGAAAAAAAGTTAATTAGTACCAAACTGATTTCCATTAAAGGAAAGAACCTTTTTGAAAGCCCAGATCAAGTCAGCGCTAGCCTCTTTAAAATTATTCCAAAGCTATCCAGTGCTACTAAAAACCAGCCATGAGAAAAAGAGTGTGTGGGTGGGTAGGTGTCAGGGACCCCACCGTTCATCATTTCGTTTAGCGCCAGCCATTTTATCAGCCTTGCTAAAAGATTAGATTTGGTCTCCTTGCATTTGAACAGTGGACTCACCGTGGCCTTTTCGCTGGGCTGACCCAAATTCTTTTGGCTTGAGTTTGCAAAAGCTTGCGAGAGCTTGAGCAGACATAACTCATTTTCACTGGAGGCTTCTGGCATCCTAGGAATTTCAAATGGGTTTTGGCAAGGGCTGAGGGGAGAGGGGGAGGGGAAGATAAAGAAGCCGTGGTTTATACCTGCACACAACAGGAGACAGAAAACAGATCAGAAAACAAGAGAAAGGCTCGTGTCAAATCAAGTTTAGATTTGCTCATTTTTAATATTGTGCATGATACTGTCCCGTGTTTGTCAATTCCTTTTTTAATAATAATTTTATTAAACACTGGAGGTTTTTAAGAAGAGACTGGACAGCCATTTATATAATAACAATAACAACAACAACAACAACAACAACAACAACAATAATAATAATAATAATAAAAGTTGGAAGGGACCTTGGAGGTCATCTAGTCCAACCCCCTGCTCAGGCAGGAAACCCTATACCATTTCAGACAAATGGCTGTCCAGTCTCTTCTTGAAAACTTCCAGTGTTGGAGCATTCACCGCTTCTGTAGGCAGGTTGTTCCACTGGTTAATTGTTCTGTCAGGAAGTTTCTCCTTAGTTCTAGGTTGCTTCTCTCCTTGATTAGTTTCCATCCGTTGCTTCTGATGTAGGGATTCCTGCCTGAGCATGGGGTTGGACTAGAAGACCTCTAAGATTCTATTCTATTCTATTCTATTCTATTCTATTCTATTCTATTCTATTCTATTCTATTCTATTCTATTCCTAATAACTTATTTCTATTCTATTCTATTCTATTCTATTCTATTCTATTCTATTCTATTCTATTCTATTCTATTCTATTCTATTCTATTCCTTTTCTACTCTACTCTACTCTACTCTACTCTACTCTACTCTACTCTACTCTACTCTACTCTACTCTACTCTACTCTACTCTACTCTACTCTATTGTCAAGAATTACCTATAAGAAAAAGCAGGTGACCTGCATGTAGTTTGGACTTCTGCAATTCTGTGCTGAATAATTTTCTTGCTTCCCTCTGGATTTACAAGTTCTACACTTCTACCTAAACATTTTCAGGTCCATTACCAAATGTTCACTGCAGGAAGAATGAGAAGCGGGCTGTCCATCTGCCAAATCATTTTCCCTTAGTGTCTCCTTAAAGACTGTAATCAGGCGTAGAGGCCGTTAAGGCTGGCTGATTGAGAAGTTACGATTCACAGAGAAGCGAGCATCTTTAGGACAGCTGTCTAGCAAAACTGACCAGGCTTTTCCAGGAATCTCCTTTCGTTTGGGAAGCTTCCCTTTTAGGAAACATTTCGCTGCCTTTGAAACCGTAATGTGAAGTATCCGCAGCACTTAGAAAATGAGAACAAGGATTCCATCTGCTGCTTCTGTGGCAATTTGCATGATGCACGAATTAACCTTCAGGATGCAAAGCCAGAGACCAGATGCCACTTTGGCACTTGTGCACCAAACTAAAGTAACCTGAAGGAAAATGAAGAACAGGAGTAGAGTAGAGTAGAGTAGAGTAGAGTAGAGTAGAGTAGGATAGGATAGGATAGGATAGGATAGGATAGAATAGAGAATTATTAGGAATAGAATAAAGAATTATTAGGAATAGAATAGAATAGAATAAGAATTATTGGAAATAGAATAGAATAAGAATTATTAGGAATAGAATAGAATAATTAGAATAGAATACAATAGAATAGAATAGAATACAATAGAATACAATAGAATAGAGAATTATTAGGAGAATAGAGTAAGAATTATTAGGAATAGAATAAAATGAGAATAATTAGGAATAGAATAGAATAGAAAGAATAAGAATTATTGGGAATAGAATAGAATAAGGATTATTAGGAATAGAATGGAATAGAATAGAATAGAGAATTATTAGGAATAGAATAGAGTAAGAATTATTAGGAATAGAATAGAAAGAATAATTAGGAATAGAATAGAATAGAATAGAATAGAATAAGGATTATTGGGAATAGAATAGAATAAAATAGAATAGAATAGAATAGAATAGAATAGAATAAGGATTATTGGGAATAGAATAGAATAGAATAGAATAGAATAGAATAGAATAGAATAGAATAGAATAGAGAATTATTAGGAATAGAATAGAGTAAGAATTATTAGGAATAGAATAGAATGAGAATAATTAGGAATAGAATAGAATAGAGTAGAATAAGAATTATTGGGAATAGAATAGAATAAGGATTATTAGGAATAGACTAGACTAGACTAGAATAGAATAGAGGAGAGGAGAGGAGAGAATACTTTATTGGCCACGTGTGATAGGCCCAGAAGGAATTTGTCTCTGTTCATAAGCTCTTGGTGTTCATGCAAAACATTAAAAATAATCATAATCATAATATCAAAATAATCATAATAATTATATCAATAAGAGAAGACAGTGGAAAAGATAAGCAGGATAATAGTAATACGGCCCTACTACCTGGGTAAATATCCTCAGACATAAGACAATGCCTGGGGGATTTATGTGCCTAGCAGAGTGATGACACAAGGGAATCAACTGTCTCTGTGTCTAGTTGTTTTGTCGTGCAGTGGCCCTGTAACAAGAATACCGAGGGGAGGAGTTGAAAAGGCTTATGTCCAGGTTGTGAGGGGTCTGTAGTTCATATACGTGTAATTAAGTTTGCATATATTAAAAAGAAGGGCTCTTTGATGAGGCGGCAGGTAGTCCTCGACTTACAATCGGTCGCTTAGCAACTGCTCAAAGTTACAACGGACCTCCCCGGGGTTACTTATGACCTGGTCTCAAAGTTCTAATGGCCGACACACCTCTCCTGTAGTCACATGACTGCACGTTGGGCGCTTGGCAAACAACCTCCATTTACGACCTTTTGCAGCCTCCTCCTGTTTTACAACAGTTTCACCAAAATCAGGAAGTTACACCTGGATTTTGGCAGAAGCGGTCCATGGAGAGCCGTTGGTTCGCTTAACACCCTCCACAAAAAATGGTCGTTAAATCGTGTCGGTCACATGGGTGACCCAGTTCACGACTGTCGTGCCATACATGATGGGCGGGCTCCATTGCGGTCGTAAGTCGAGGACTTACCTGTATGTCTTGGGTTCCGTTGCGGTCTTTTACGTTTTGTGCTT